AAAAAAAAAAAAAAAGAATCCATTTTCTTTCAATATCAACATTTTCTAAAATCATAACACTTCGATACAAGAATTTTCACAATTCAAATCGAAATCGAAATCTTCTACCCTCGAAGTATTCTTTCACGAATACTTAAAGGGTTAAAATCGGGATCATAGATAACACGAGTTATAGATTTCCCGTGGAAATTGAGGCCGGACAAGTCGTAACTTAATTACTATCGGCCTTGGCCAATTAATCGATGCAAAGCCTTGTCGTTTACCTGTGGGACGGCATATAGATCGCCACGCTTAGATAAACCAACGCGACACAACTGATCACAATGGTGAACTGACAGAAGCAGATACTCCCGCATATCCTGCGATCCTGTTCCGGTATCAGGCGGCGTTTATGCTTTCGACCCATAGCGAGCCAACCAATCGGACACCCGCCCTTTCTTCCACCTTCCCTCTTTCCAACGGATAATTTCTGAAAACGGATTAACCTAAGTCTCCTTTCTCATCAAGTTTGGATCCGTTTCCAAGCACGACGATTTCTCGGCTCGCTCGTCACGAATCGTTCTCCCGACAGAGGGGTATTCTTTGTTTGTCATCGATCCGTCCAAAGTTCGTACAGATTCGTTCGTGGAACTTGAAAGAAGCGACGATGGTTGATTATGTTCGTATTTTCTGGAAAGAAAACGCAATCCATATTAGCCGTGACATCGATCGATACGGATGAGGGGTAAATTTGTTTGAGAGAATAATTGAAAAATAGATGGTGGATCTTAAAGGGGATGTAAATTTTTTTTTTAGTTTATTTTCATATGTTCTTTTATTTTTTTTGAGAATATAAATTATTAATATTGCAATTGAAATTTAATTACAATTATTTATATTAATAAAATAAATATTTACATTAGACTGGTTAATTTGGCGTTAATTCAAAATATGTGGATGAACGTTCTTTGTACGAATATAATAGAAAGCTTAATATGGTAAATAATAACATAACGTTATTTCATTTCAATTTTTATTTCTTTTATTTCTCTTTGAAATATAAAATGGAATGACTTTTGACCACATTTTCTAATGAAGTTGTACCAGTCCTTTTTGATCAATATTTTTTTCTTTTTGAAGAAAGAAATTTATTAAAATTCTAAAGCTTTATTTTACATTATATTTTTAAAAAAAAAATAATATTTCGTTTTTAACAATGTGCATGTTATACATTTAATTATAATGAAACAAGTCTACATATATTTCCATAGATATTAAAACGCATAAGTTTACTCATAAAGAGAAAGTATATAAAATCCACTAAATAAATACGGATCTTACTCCCCAAATTTAATCATCTCATCTTCTAAAACAAATATTCACTTAATCCATCAATCACGACATGGAGGAGAGATTTATTATAATTAAAGCATTGAAAATTGATCTATTATCCTCGTCGGTTCTCTCGTTTTAAATCGCAGAAGGGTTATTTCCATCTATCGGTTAATTACTTTCGCGTGAAAGGATCGAGAAACAAGCTATGGAGATCCCTTTAAGAATGTAATTTAATTTACTATATTCCATGAATTATTGCCGAGCTAAAGTTTTCCTCGGTTCTTGAATTTTCCAAGCCTTCGATTCCGTTCCCACAACAGGTGTCTCAACGCTCGAGCGGGAATATTCTTCTCGGAAACACATTTCATCCACGTTTCATCGATTCATACAAAAATTTTACCTATAACCCACCTCGACTCGAATCCTTCTTTCTTCTCCTTGTATTCCCCTTGGATAAACCGATCGAAGCGCGCTTCTATAAAATAAAAAAAGAAGTTCGTCCTCGATTTAAGTGATATCGAAGTATGAAAGGTCGCGTGGAACATTGATTTTCCGGTTACGTAAGGTGGTTGATTTTACATAAAGTCCGTGCATGCGATCGAATACGTACTCGAAAAGTACTTTTTTCGACCAGTCCTCGTTTCTCGAATAATCCCGAAATTGAAATAAGGGAGAAAGTTTCGAGGAGTGGAACAAAATTTCGCACAAGCGAAACTTTCTATCGATTTCGGTTTGCCTCTCGTTTTGCACGCGGTGATCCCCTCGTTAAGGAATCGTATCGCGATGGTCTCGTTAGCCTTTCGCCGAATCGATTTTCGACTCATCGTTCCTACGAATCCTCGTGATATCAAAGAATATCTCGGAAATTATCGATTCTAGAAAGAACGAGTCTATGAATAACAACGAGGGATACTCCCGTTTTACACAGATACTCGTATTTTTCGTGAAATGAAGGGAGCGAGGGAAATATTCTATTGATAGGGAAAAAGAAATGGATTTTGGGGAAAGTTGTGGAAATTTTCTTCTTTGTGAAATAGAAGAAAAAGATAGGGATTGATTTTGTAGGAATACTTTTTCAAAGAAAGATATTCTATTTCGTGATTTTAAAATTACAGAAATTTTTGTGTAGACGCACAAATTAAGAATCTTTCAAGTATCTCGAGATCGTTTTTTTTTTTTTTTTTTGCTTGGCGCTATCAAATTTAACGCTGTTAAGGCAATTACGGGATTTTAACTTCATTAAGGTGCAGCGTTAGTGTAAACAGATGCACTCCATCGGATGACGTGCAATTAGATACTCGTAATCCTATTACAGCGTAAGGGACGATCGCTTAACGGCCATTCGAAAATAATACATATCGATTCATGGAAACTTTCAAACTCTGATAAACTATCCTGTTCTTCTTGAATATTCTCACGCGAGCTTATGATCTAACGATGCTTAAGGTTGATCTCAAAGGGAATTCGAAAAGGCCAATCGTCAGTTTACGTGCGATGAATATATCTGTCTCGATGATAATATTTTTTTAAATATTCTTTGGCCAGAGTATAATATTTGATCTTTGAGATTTTCATTTTAAAATTATATATATGTGCAAAAATCTAATGATAGCACGATAGAGCTAATTTTGCGGTGTATTTTCTAAAATAAAAAATAGTTAAGTATAAAAAAAGATCCATGTAAGGTTGTAATAGCTAATAATCTATTCTTACGCGTTTAAAAATTGAATTTTTTTTTTTTATCGAAGGCATTCGCTCGGGTGAGAATTACCGGTATGAACTTTGATTATAATTAGCAATAAAATTTTAATCCAATACAGATAAAAAAGAAAATAATGCAAATAAATATCATTACACATTGATCTTAGTGAAAACATTTATAAATGAAATTAATATTAACGAGTTAATTTAGGAACGAAATTAGTTTATATATCTATTGTATTTTATACTTTGTCTATTATATTGATATGAGATATATGAAATTTCAAGATACCTGATTCCCATAATGTAAACTTTGAATCCTATAAACTATTATACACAATAGCACGTTGTCTAAACAGTGTTATAACAACATTTACTATCAAAACGTGTCCACAATATATATACATGTTTCATCGTTTACCTTTAAGTCTACCGAGACTTTTGAGACTTAAATGTCACATACATATATCCAGTCGAGGACGTTCTAGTGAATATCACTTCTTATTTTTTATTTTTAGAAATCGACTTCTCCTCTATATAGATCCAAACTATATAATAACATTAAACAAAAAACCAACGGTTCCAATTATAATCGATCACAATCAAACATTAGTGATAACATTAAATACGAATAATTCCTAGTGAATACCACTTCTTATTTTTTATTTTTAGAAATCGACTCGACTTCTCCTCTATATAGATACAAACTATATAATAACAATAATATTAAACAAAAAACCATCAACAGTTCCAATTATAATTTGCAATCGAGCACAATCAAACATAGTGATAAAATTAAACACGAATAATTCCTAGTGAATACCACTTCTTATTTTTTATTTTTAGAAATCGACTCGACTTCTCCTCTATATAGATCCAAACTATATAATAACAATAATATTAAACAAAAAACCATCAACAGTTATAATTTGCAATCGAGCACAATCAAATATAATGATAAAATTAAATACGAAAAATTTTCATTTATTATATCCATATTTAAAAAAAAGAAAAAATAAAATAAAATCGACATCGTACATAAATTCGTACGTATATTTTACCTGCTTCTCGGCAAGTAGCAGCAAATCACCGATAGAAATTTTCAATCACCTTTCCAACCCTGATACACTGAAATCCATCGAAATTCACTCTATTGTTCCCTCGCACGGCAATATCGCGCGATCCCTCGATATCTATCTATCTATCTATCGATATCTGCACGAGTCGACGATAGCCGCGGGCAAAAATCTAACTCTGCTCACTTTCGAATACACCAGATCCGACGAGATATCGGTCAATAACGATATGAACCGTCCGGATTCTCATTTCCATCCATCTTCCTCGATGTCATTGCTTCCCCGTGGTCCGTTGACACGAAACGGTCTCCTACAATGTTCGGTACAGCGTCGAACGACCACGAGGCACCCACGCAATCCGGATGACTGTTTGAAAACAAGTCTGTCCGTCGAGTGTATGGCTGGCGAGCTCTCCCATACCGAGTTTGCGCACCGTCACCTCACCGCGTTTATGGTGGCTCTTCGATGTCGAGGAACGATACGCAGAAGAGCCACCCTCTCTTACGACTTATAAAAGTAAGACTTCGTTTGCGGATAAGCTGATTAATTAGAAGTGGATTATATGTCGACATATTCTGAGTTTTTGAGAATGTGATTTCGAATCTTTTTGTAGGCAGGAAGTTAATTTTCAGTGTTAATTAATTTTGATTAATGACACGGATAGTAGTAAAGGTTTTGTGCTGTTTGTTCGGTATTATTCTGTCTTTATAGGGGCGAGTATTACGAATTTTTTTATTTTGAATTGTTTCTCCTTTTTGCTTACGATTTCGTGTGGATAAATTTAATTAGGAATGGATCAGATCAATGCTGACCTCTTTTGAGTATATTTGAGATATTTTTCTAGGCAGGAAGGTAATTTTGTTCAATGACGTTTGTTAAATAATTTGTTAGATAACAGTGGTAGTTATAAAGTTTTTATGCTGATTGGTTTCTTTGGTATTATTTTGAGATAATAGCTTTAATGACACTTTGTTTATTAAATTATAATCGCCTATGACTGTTTTTCTTTTTTTAAATACAATATTACTTAAATGAGCAAATTAATTAGAGATTATATCAATGCTTTTAAATTGTGTTTAAGAATGGTGTTTAAGAATTATGTTGGAGATGATTAGGTAAATTTCAAATGTTTTAAGGGAAGTAATTGTGTAGCAATTTTAATAAATTTTTTAGAGTATAGATAATAATAAATTGAATTTTTTATTTATTTATATATTACTTTGTTTGATAAAATAGATGATATAAAGTTAATCTTCTAATTTTTTTATTAATCTGTTGTTGTAAATTGTTATTTAATTAAGTCGAAGTTAATGAATCATCATACTACAAATTTTATTACTGATATATATTTAAATATATACTGATATATATTTAGAAATGTTACGCAAATGAGTATTTTCTAATGTTTCTTTAAGTAGGATTTAGATAGGAATCAATTTACGAAGGTGAGAAGTAAATCTCGTAAATAGTTACATATAGCTTAATAACCAGTTATATAATTATATCTTTAAATAATTATTTATATACACACATATATATTATCGTGTTAATTCCAGTTAAAATAAATTCTGATTCTGTCGATAAATTTTAATAATAAAAAAAATTATGCAAATTATAATTTTATTATTTTACGTCCAATTGTATTACATTCTCGTTATTCAATATTCATAATAATATTCATTATTCATAACAATTTCGCAGTATTCATAACAAAACGTACAATTTAAATATTTACACATTTACGTCTCGCAATTGTAATTGCAATTTAATTATTGCACGTAACTTGTACAATAATTTCCATCTAGTTAGTAAGTTTCTCGCTCTCTGGTGTAATTGCATAATGCACTAAACAATTCGAAAATTCGGTAACCAGCGAGAGTTATAATTTCACCACAGTTTGAATAATTTAATGCAGCAATAAGATTTGTTGAAGTTTCGAGAAGTTGCAAGAGGCATTGTATTAATGTAAATTTTCTAAGCAATCGTTGTCTTAACAGATTTGCAAACTTTACTCGTGTAAAGCTTGATTATATCGGCAACATTAAATTATCGAATCAAAGATTCGCCTCACATAGAAAACGTATTTTTATATTATAAATTTTCCTTTCAATAATAACGCATTTTCTATTTAATGATTCACCCATGAAAGATGAACTTTTCGTTTATTGGACATTTCGTCGCTCTCGACACAATATTTTCCAAGGCCTAGGAGGGATTGAGCACGAAATACACGTATGTATATTAAAGCTTAAAAGCTTTTCCAAAGTGATTGCCATCGTTACATGGGCTATGTACATTCGCGAAATAAATACACGACGCTCAAATATAAAATGCATTGTCTCATATAGATACATATAAAAATTCATCGAATTACTTCGTAAAGTAAAAAATTTTTTTAGCAATTCCATGATTCGCTTCGCTCGAATAACGCGATCGATGATGAAAAATTTGTTATAACCGATCGATGCAATTCTGAAAAGAAGAGGAAACGAAGTTTAAAGAAAAAATAAAGGGTAGTAAAAAGAGAAAAGTGACTTAATGTCCCAAAGAGAAAAGTCGATTGTATTTAACAGAAAACAATGTTTCTGTATATTTCAAACGAAATATCGTACAATCTTTTATTTACAATAGTCCGTTAGTATCGCAGAACGAGTACGTTTTATATAATATATTATATACAAAGTATATATATATAGTATATATATATATATACTCAAGACTTACAATGGTACGCACGAAGCTGTGAACAATTTTTTCCTTCTTAGATGAGATCTAATATTCTCGAGTAAAGAACCGGGAAGCTTTCTCGAAGAGCGTTCTTCATTTTTTATTTTTTATTTTTTTATTTATTTATTTATTTATTTATTTCTTATTCTTCGTACCGTATAGATCGTCAATTGAGAAAGATATTAATAGGTAAGATAGAAAGAGAGAGGAAAGAGAGGAGAGACGAAGTAGAAAATGATCGAGGAATCGCTATCGTCTAAATGTCGAAGTTTAAAGTCGTGAAAGGAGGAGGAAAGGAAAATAGTTGTTGAAAAATAGAAAGGGAAAATGGCTTAACTATAATGTATGTGCAGGTACATTAGAATTAATTAAATAACATGCGATAGAGCATATTATACATAAGTATCGATAGAAATAGAGATTTTACAATTAATCGCCGCTTTCTAATCTGTAACCGTCTATGCAATTTCCTTTTATCTTCCACATGGTTTCGCTATTGCTCGCAGATTATTCTTGATTATTAATTTAAATTACGAGTGGTCGATATTTTTTTATTTTCATTATTATTATTATTTATTTTTTATAATATATATATGTATAACTTTTAACCACGAATCGACTCGTTCTCTCAATTTTATATCACTTTTTAATGCAATATATTTCTCAATTTTTCCTAGAATTTCGTATTTAATCTATCTAATTTTATCGACGTCTTCTCCCGCGACCGATGATTTCTAATTACGATTTCCTTTTCAACTCGATGATCATTCGCGAGGTTCCTCTAATCGACTAATTGGCACTAAATCGATCTGATATGAGAGATATGGAAACGCTTTGAACGAGCTCCTCTTACTTGGATGGACTTTCCAATTTCGAAACAATTCTACGAATTTGTATTTGAATTTCCGAAACGATTGATCGAAGCACGATGAATTGTTTAATCGAATAGTATATAATCGAAATAGTTTAATAAACGATCGCTTCGATGATTTTATCGATTGAAGAGAGATGATAAATATTCAATGATGCCACTTAAAATTTTTCGTATTAATAGATCGTTGATAAACATGAATCACATTGAAAATCGAAGGGCTCAAAGGAAAATTGGCACGAGTGACAAAATTTGTATATCGAGATGGATTATTGGATTATTGTTTTTCGAAGCTTTTACATTATCGTAGAATTTATATATACATATATAGAATAAAAGGATTCTAAGCGTGAGCCATGTTCTAAAGGAAGATATATATCAGAATCAGTGTATTTCCGATGAAACTTAATTTTAATCCTAATAAAATTCTTCTTAACAATTTTATAATTTCACCAGGAAATGTTTATTCAAATTTTTTTACCCTGATTTTGGAAAAAAAACACGCTCGAATCATTTTTCCATTGAGCAGCTCGATTAATATCATTGTTTCTAATCTCGTTCGAAAAGATTTTTTTTTTTTTTCCAATTTCTTTCTCTTCGCTTTGGCCTTTCGCCAATCTTTTATTAATCATTTCGTAAATCGAGCGCCTTTGAGCAAAAATTTCACGTGACGCGGATAAAGGACGCAAGAGAGAAGATCTCGTAAATATAGAACGGTGGAACGACGTTGAAATTTGAAAAGCGCGCCAACGATCCGCCGATCGATCGCCGGCCATGCGCAAAACGGAAATCGATTAGCAAGCTTCGAGTGGGGAATGAGTGCCGAAACGCAGGCTCCCGTTGGGATTCGCCTCTTCGAGACGAATCGCTCCAACACGTTGCCTAGAGTAAGGCCGAGTAAAGGATTCACAACCATTCTAGATGTACAGGCTCGCGATTTAGATTCCATACGCTTCGAAACAACGTATCTCCTGCCGCCAATTTCCAATTTCGATTCGAATACTCGATTCGAGACTTTGTAATTTAATTATTCGTAAGATAATGTTATAAATTCTATTCATAATATTTATATACGTACATTAATAAGTAATTTAGAAATATGACACAGTGGATCCTTGAAATTCGAACAAGAATATCAATCTTCTAATTTAAATTAGATTAAATTTATGGTAATAATGTAATTGTATAATAATAATAATAGATAAATAATTTCTCCAAAGAAACAAAGGATGATATGAATGATAATGAATCATAACTTATTGTATTACAGGAAAATTATTAATTAATTGATTTTTTTTTATTTATTTTGAACGTAGAATTTAAATTGAATTTATCTCTATTTCAAATGAAAAATTTTAATTCGAACAAGTCTCTCAAGGATCGAATTTGGTCTCTTAGATTCGAATTTCGAGGATTTACTGTAATTAATAATTCTAAACATATCAATTGTTGATCTTTAACTCTAATAACATCAAATTTGATGAATCATTCGCACAGAATATGGACATTACCTTAGAAATGTTGAAAATTATAAAATTATAGTATAGATATCGTGAAATTATTGCATTTATCCCCTTTTCTTTTTTTATTTCTTATAAAAATTAACGATGTGCGTTAGAGATATTCGATTTCTAAGGTTACGTTCATGTTTCGAAACGAAACGATTAATTTGTATGAATCGAAATGGGAGGAATTATTGCTAATCAATTCTCTGATAATTTACGCGAACGCTGTTGTCACACGTTGTTTCGCAGCTTGTGGAAACGCAGATCGCTCGTCCCTTTCGAAAAACCGAAACTGAAAAAACCGATATCTACAGCTATAAACTACGTATACGCACGTGCATGCGTGCACTTATTATGCAAATATCCTTCGTACGTTCCTAACTAGAACCACGACGCGACTCGCGTCCGCGTAAAAAATTTGTAACAATCGTAATCGTATCGATCATTAATATTCACAGACTTAACACCTTACGGGCTAAACTTAAATCTATGAGTTTTATTTCATTTTTTTTTTTTATTTCTTTGGTGCGAAGACATATCCTGGAGGCCGTCGCGTCATCGCCTTCATCATTCCTTGCGTTTCATTCACCAACCACTTCGAAATTAATTATTTAACTATTCCCCTCCCCTCCTGTTGCAAAAATAGCAATGATCTAAACAATAATCTTCGCCTTTATCGCGAAAAATAGCAGTATATTCTCCTCTTAACTTTAAATAATTTTGCAACATGTGAAAGCACTATGATCCACGATTTTTTTTTTACTTTATTTTTTTTATTTTTTTTTTTCCTTTTTATTTTGATATATTTTTCACCGTCGAAAAAATATCCTCTCTCCTTCTCCCCTTATCTTCGATCTCCGAATAATAATATCATCGATTTTCGAACATTCGAAGTAGAAATAGAAACGCTGAAATGGTATGTACTGGCACGTACATTCGCGTGACACGAGCCTGCACAGGATTTTGATTTCTTTTCTTACTTTCGTTCGAAACGCTCGACGAATCGATTGTTCTTCTCCGACAAACGTTAACAAAACGAGATATTTCTCGATCACTTCGATCGTGAACTCGGATACGCGCAGATCTGGGTAAAATGATATTTTATGTAATTTAATTAACACTTTCGAACGATGCAATTTCATCGAATTATCGTAAAGCAACATTGTATCGCGGGATACAAATTAATCCGGACAACGTGCTGCTTTTTAAACACATTTCGTTTCCAATATTCTTCTTTATTTTTTCGCTTTTTTCGTTTTTTATTTTATTTCTATTTTTCTTTTTTTTTTTCTCTCTCTTTTTTTTTTTACATAATTTCAAACGTCATCTTACCCGAGTCTGGATAAACATGACTTAAAAATACAGTACATCATTTATCCTATTACGAACGAATGTTGCTTTTCCTCTTTTTCTTAAACGTGCCACTTGGATATTTGTTCCTTAAAGTTATCACGTTTAAAGTTATCACGTTGTAGGAAGGCGCACCTTGTTACAATTTCTCGTTCGGAATACTGGTAGATGATCGAGACTGAGCTTTGTTCTCACCGTGTCGATGTCGAACAAACCTACCTTGCCTTGTAAATTCACGAGAGCCCGTTTATTATTGCGGTATAAAAATTTTGTAAAGCGATTACGCGTCTCGACATCGAAACAAGAAAAAAAAAACATCACATTTTCTATACAATTGTAGGGATTAATCATTTTTTTTTTCTCGGAATAACTCGGTGTAAAAATATCGCAGACATTCTCGGTTTAATTCGATCGCTTTGGAAAATATTTTCGATGTACGATCCCGCGATTCAAAATTTCAAAATTCGTATTGCGATTTATCGCGGGACAAGTCTTTAGAAAAAGGAATTATTTTTATATAATATCTCGTATAATAAACGTATAATATTATGTATAATATTAATTTTGATTTATTGCAAAATTGTGAGAGGGATATCGTTGAAGATGAAATAGCCGAAGAAAAAATTTTTAACGATATTAATATCAATTAAAATTCAATTCTTTGCTTGGTCAAAGATCAAATTTCTTTAAATGCTTATCAAAATTTAAAGTTAAATTAAATTCAATATTGATTTATACTTGTGTCTTTAATAATTCATATTCTGCAAGCATTAAATCGTGCGTGAATATATATAATTCGTTAAAAATATTTAATTGGAATTTTTAAATGATCTTTTTCTTCCTCTTTTTTGAATCGGCCATATCATATGCAGCAACTTAATAATTCATTTACTACGGACCGTCATAAGAATCAAAAAATGGTCAAATGGGCGATATATAAAAGAGCAAAATTATTTATACCAATTCTCCTTTAACGAATGCAATTAAGCTCAAAGTGCAATGTATCGCAATTAAGATCAATCAATAAACAGTAGAAATCGGAAACGTAAATGCATTTATCTTCGTTGCTGGAAGTTTCCCTAATGCTTCTATTGCTTTCAATTAATTTTAGAACGTAAATAACGGGGATTATTTTTCAGTAATTCCTTCGGCGTCACTCCCTCGCTGGGGGGTGAGCCCTTGGCAGCAGTCAGTATTCCTCCTCATCCTCCTCGAACTCATCCTCTCCCAGAATACTGTACGAATGCAACAGAAAACTTGTAATAGAAAATACAGCAGGGCCTCTTTGTCGAATTGTGGTTACTGGAACATTGCTTCGAGGAAAATTAAGATCCTTCGTTATTAACAAACAGATTTTCCCACGATATTATCATTAATCTTTTCTAAAATTTTAATTTGAATCATATTTTTATTTTTTACAAAGTAATATTGCATTGTTTTATATCCGATTATATAATGATTAAACGTATCGTTTGTCGTGAAATTTACATAAGATTTTTGATATCACGATGTATTGGACAAACAGTTGTAATTCAGTTGCTTGACAAAAATGGAAATCAGAGACATTCCAAATTTTAAATTCGACGAATTATGATGAAATTCCTCGAAGCAATTCTAAAACGTAGATGAGGTATAGGTTCTTCTAGCCACACTGGGCACTGCATACATACACGTTACTTACTCTTCCTTCCTTGCGTACTTGTCAATCAAGTTGCGACCTGGTCCTCCGCAAGTCTTGCCCATCGGTGGACAATACCAATAGCATAACACACCGAGGGACACTCCGAAAAGAACTGTAGGCACTACCAAGGCTAGCACTAGATGCCTCAGATTTTCATCCCAAGAGTATCTAAGAATTAAAAAAGAAACGGATCAATAAATATATATATATAAAATATATAAAACAAATTTTTCAATCGTAGTACAAGTTATAATTTTATAGTCGAACAGATAAAAAAATGAGAAGATGCAAATCTATTGAAAAATTACGATAGCAACTGCATTAACCGATCGATTTAATCGCGGAAATGGCACGTGTTTGCCAAGTTGGTCACGAATGGAACAGCCTTGGTAATTATACCTTGCAACGACAGTCTCTGGATGCGTTCTGCTGTAATAACAAGGGAATATTTTCCCCATGTTCGAGTATCCATACTTCTTGGCGAAGTCGGAACAGTTCACCCTGGGCGGGTAACCGCAACCCTCCGTGTTCACGAAAAATTTCGTGTCTGAAACGTCCCACTGTATGGAGCTCAACGGTTTCGCTATGAATTCCTCGAACGACAGCCTCGTGTAGTTCACCCTGATTTGATGGCAACGAAGCGCTGCGCTTGTACAACCTATAATCACACAGAAGGATCTCATCGCGCTCGTTCAAATGTAAATTCAAATCGTGGAACTTGACCTGTACCTTCTCTACAGCTTGCCCAGGAGCAATTCTTCAATCCCTCGGCGTAAACGTGGTCGGTGACGACGCAGGCAACAGCGTGTGGAGAAAAGTCGGCCAGGATCGTGGTCACTGCCGGCTCCACGACGAACGGGATCAGAAAAAGGAAGGCGAAGACGGCGAGTATGGCCGTGGTACCCAGGCAGAGGGAGGTGTAGAATTTAGCTTTCTCCACCAAAGTCACCACCTCCACCACAGGCAGCACCCCGCCTATGGTGCTGGACTTGGTGTCCTCTTCCTGGGCGCCCATGATCACCGTCGACTCGTCGGAATCAATGATTGCTCTATTGTACGGGGCCGCTTGGACCCGCTCTTCCCTCAAACTTGAAAACTTCTCCTTTCCGCCTCTGAAGACGACGATTATTATGGATATCGATCGATCTTCCACGGAAATTTTATCTTTCCACGGATTCACGCTTTTTTTTTTTTTTTTGTTTGGTAGCTTGGAATTCGAATTCAGCGAATTCAGGTCAGGCTCTTTTTTCTTTTTTTTCTCTCCGTTGTAAGTAAATAGATGGTCGACGATAAGATTCGATTGATTGATTTTGTTTAATTAATTATACGGCAAGCGTGTGCGGCTCGAATACTTTCAAAACATGCGCTCTCAAGCGACGAGTATATATCAAAGAGATCTGTCTAGGCTAGTATGCCAGTGGTGCAGTGGTGGTGGTGGTGGTGGTGGTGGTTGGG